GAAAAATCTTGAGACCTTCTGATGAAATAGCTTACCTAAAAACTAGGGCTGCAACTAACATTTATTTTGAATCAAATAGTTGTTTGTGTTTTAACATTTATAGAAATTGTAAGAAAACAATGATTAGTTCCAAAAGCCCAGGGTGGCTTTACATTTCTAGTTGTCCGACCAATTGTCCAAAATCCAAATGACATTCGATAAACAAAGATATGAAACAAACACAAAAACGTCCAAGGCCCAAGCTCCAAACCTTTAAAAGGTATTATGAAAACTGGGCTTGTAATGTACCTGTTATCAGAAAGACTAACTGAAAAATACACTCCTAGGTAGAGTGAATAAAACCAACTCTATGTGCATGGCTAAACAGATTCCAGTAGGGGTAGGTAAGGTAATGTATGGATGGTTTTTAGTTATAAACTGGCCATTTAAAAAGATAATTAGCCAACATGCAGTACGTTTAGTCTCACAAAGTTTGATTTCCTGTTTTTGCATTAGACTCAAATCAAGTCCTTGTAAAATGATTAACTCTCTGATGTAATTAGAGGATTTATAATTGGCTGTTGATCACATGCCGCCAATATTTACCAGCCTGTCACATTCAACTTTGTTGATTACCAGTGGATGTCAAATTATCTCCAAATGATACATGTAATTTCATTACGCTTTAGCAGCCTGGAGATAGTGGAGTATGACGTCCACACTAAAGAATACCCTCGTCTCTCCACCTCCAAACTCCTTTTATTCTTTTTAATTGTGATAAAAAACCGAAAGTTAACTTTTATATTAGCAGGTTCATGAGTTCTGCGCCTCTAAATGAAAGGCCTGACCTCTTTTTGTACTTGTTTTTGTACAACTTCTGACTTCTGTTTCTGTGTTAAATTTGAAACCTGTTACCCAGAATGTCACCTTTTGCTCTTGAATCTGCAGCAGGCTGTGATAAGAAACAATCTGTCACTTGAACTAAATAAAAGTGACATTTATCCCCAGACTGCTCCTAAAAACAAGGTGTTGTTGGGAGACAAATCCTCACTCTGTAAAGTGACACGACAGCTTCTTACAGGTTGGAGGTTCGTCGCAAAACAGTGGAAATAGCAGCGACTCCCAACTGCAATTAAATCTATGCAAAATGCTGTTTGATTATTAAAACAAAGCTTAATGCACATGTATCATGTCTCAGAGTAATTACACTCTGTAAAGCCCCTGTCACATTGTTCCGAAATTGAAACCAGATGAACACACGATAAAGGAAATGTTCAAATTCGGTTCTGATCGTAACAACATCGGGCCATTCGTGAGGGCATCTAAAGGCCCAGATACACCGGCCCGAAATCGGCAGTAAATGGGAGTCAGGCCGAACATGAGCGTGGGCACGCCCTATTCGGAGTGGTGTGCGCCGCACCGTCGGGTCTTTTCTGCCGACCTGACGCCTTTTCTTGCCGATTCGGCGTCGGGAACACCACCGGAAGTCGGACAAAGGGATAACACTGATTGGCTGTTCAGCTAGCGAATCAGTGCATGAGAAGCGTTAACGGAAGTGAGGGAGGTAAACAAATGATTTAAAATGGAAGATGGAACACAAACGGACGGCTATTTCACCTCATCGGTTTATAGAGCTCCTGTTCGTTCATGTTTTCAATGGACGAGAGTGAAAATGGAAAGAAAAACGCTATTTGTTGTTTGTTTATATCACGGAGTCTGTTCTTCTTCTCTGTTTTCCGGTTGTTCCGGTTGTTGCCTCTTTTGAATGATGAATACAGCACTACCGCCGCCTGCTGGTAGGAGAAGTTATTGCCATTCACGCCATACGCAGGTTTCATACGATGCTCGGCTCGGTTTGCGGTGTGTTCAAGTCAATCGGTTCCAGTGCGGCGAAGTCGGGTAAATACGCAAGAGAGAGTCCGGCCGACGCAACAGTCGGTGTCGGCGTCGGCGACTTCTCAGGTGACTGGCCGGTGTATCTTGGGGACCTTTAAGGCCATACGTATGATCGGCCGGTGGAAGTTTCTCTCAGGCTCCGCCAAAAAATTGATCGAAGGACATTGCGAAAGGTTCATTTTCGTGTTGAATTCGTGTGTCCGTTTTGCCCTTCGTAAGGCACTCGTGTGAGGGCATCTTGTCAAATCGTGTGAATCGTATGAACATATATATGTAAATATAACCCAATTTGTGTTCTGTGAAACTGAAAAAGGATATTACATTTGTTTTTGCTAGCTTTCGTTGGCAGTTGTATGTCTTGAATGTAATATTAGGTTAACTTTCTGTTTTATTTAGATGGCTTTTTATTTTGAAGGCACAAGTTTACGCTGTTGACAGGAAGTTGTTGTTGCTATGGAAACCAAAATGACGGAGATAAGTAATATCTTCTATATCTACATATAATGACGGAGAAAGTTAAAGAGACTAAAAGTGTATATGTCTTAAATGTTAAGCACCGACCCGCGAAGAAGGCAGCAAGCTCTCGTTGAGTCTGGGATTCTAAATCATGCAGTAAAGTCCCTACGACCATATCGTTTTTTTTGTCTTTTTTTTTTTTTTAAGCGCCTTCGTGTGTGGTTCGGGTGCCAACGTGTGGCCTTCTGTAGCATCGTACTTGCTTCGGCGGTTGCTTGGCTTTGACCAAATTCGGGCCATCTTCGTACGAAATTCACAAATTCCATATTCGTGTGCAATTTTGGGACAGTGTGACAGGGGCTTTAGTGAAAACTGACAAAAAATAATTTTAAAATCACTAAAAAAAACAATAGTGAAGTCCGCAATAGAAATAAGAGCATACTTTCTTACAGCAGCTGTTTTCCTTAACAGTTTAAAGCAAACTAGCAATCAAACACATTTTTTTAATTAGAGCAAATAAAATGCTACATGCACAAGGCTACTAGGGGAACCATTTTTAACCATAATCTCTCTACTCAACTATCTATCAAGTTTTTTTTAAACAATTTTTGCCGCATCCCGGAGTTGGACAAAACACGTGACTCTGCAACTGCAAGTTTTTTTCGCTGGATTAAGGTCCGATAACGTCAGACAAAATAGCTTAAAAAAGGGAGTGCGTTTTCAACACATAAATTAAAATATGAGGCAGAAGTTCCATAACTCGAGCCTAAGTTTGGAGGGCATTTCTTTGGCCTCTGTGACGTCCTCAGGATAATTATCCAGCCTCGCGACCTGTTTGTTGGGAAAAAGGCGCTTTATATATGTCACACTGGCGATCCCGCCCCCTCCCCCTGACTCCCTCCTTCAGGTGAATGCGCGCCTCCCTCACGCACACCAACGAAGGCATCCCAGAGGTCTGGGCCATGTTGGAGTCGTACCGTGGCCGTCATGTTGGCCAGCGGTGAGCTGCAGGGCCGGCGGAGGGCCCACAGAAGATCTGGATGTGGAGTCTGATCGCAAGGACAACGCCCTCGCCAAATTCAAGAATCCACCTTAGTGTCAGAGGGCCTGCTCCCCCCAGCTGGAGAGCGGGTCCCAGAGGAGAAATGCTCCCCGGGGGCCTGGCTGCCGACCTGCTCCTCAAAGCCTTCACATCTTCATCCCCAAGTAATAACTGGACTGCACTTTACGAGGAGGAATGGACGCCTCGTGGCTGATCAGGAAAGCCCCTACCAGCATGCTAAACCTGGACAAAGTGAGAAAGTGACCTTGGATCTGAGGTTTCGCAAAAGAAGCAGCCTTGCTTTTTTACACTTCATTTTAATGTAAAACACCTCGAGCTGAGTCACCTCTCCAGCTAAAGACGTCAGTCCTTAATGAAATGCATTAATCCATATGAGGAAGAGGGCTGGACAGTCACTTCTCAACAGTCTGCTCAAGACAAGTCCATTTGAACAGTTTATAATGAAGCAATTTGATTGCTATGAGATATGATGGATGGTTGTTTTCTTTAAAGGTATTACTGGGATTGTCTTTATGGACAAAACACTACAGACCCTCAAATGAACTGTTTTTAAATGAGAGCAGTGCCAAAACATACAAAGTTGTAAAGGCATGTTGATACTGTTGGAGATTGTCCTCCAAATAGATCCCCCTTGTACAATCAGGCGACAGCAAGTGTGCTGCTTCTGCCATAGTTAATTGACATGACAAGAGTACTGTAAGTGGTGTGAGTCTATTTTTTACCCACATCCCATGCTGCGATCAACAAGAGACACATTTCATAACCCCAAAAAGTGGTTTAAAGCAATGATCAGGTTAGAAGAAAATGGATTATTATGGTCGTTTTTTAATTGGTTCTCGTGTTTGAACTGCCGTGGACGGTTGCTCCATATATCGAAACAATTGCCCTGCAACTGGACTTGCACAATGTTTCAATTCTCTATTTTGTGTTTCTGCATTAATAT